CGCGCTAGCCTAAGGGCCACCTTAGCAAAGCGCATCCCAGGCTGCATAGCCGCACTACCCTACCCAACCATACCACACATAAACATGACACTACCCCCGGGGTTTACACAGACGAGCCGGCGAAGCAAGAAGAGCGCCAGAAGAAAGGGCCCTAGCCGGCGGGGCCCAGCCAGGACAAAAGGAGGTCCCACAAAGCGCCTACACCGGCCGCATTTGCGGTCGGGGTAGACGACGGATGGGGCCCACCTACGAAGGCTGTCCAGGCCTACACGAGATGAGGCAGGATAAAGAGGGATAATCCCCCTCGATCCCAAATCATTGAGGCCAATTTCTAGCCATAGAATAATGGCGATCGAGTGCTGCAACTTAGCAATGGTAAAAGTGTTCTGTCATTAGCTCAGAAGAATTTCAATAAAACGCATTAAAATTTTTATTGAGGGGTTGGCGGGTTGGCTATAGCAGTAAATGACTGTTCCGAAAATTCGAAATTTGTTAATTAACAGCAATTTTACTGATACACCCCACATCAACATCTGATGCAGAATATGGCGTGTTCATATGAAGCTAATTACAGAACGGACCCTTACTGATATTCTACTGAAGTTAATTACAGAATGGCCCCAGAATCTCGGTGTCATCTCTTTTACGAGCCGGCAGAAGAAAGGGCCCTAGCCGGCGGGGCCCAGCCAGAACAAATGGAGGTCTCACAAAGCACCTACACCGGTCGCATTTGCGGTCGGGGTAGACGACGGATGCGGCCCACCTACGAAGGCTGTCCAGGCCTACACGAGATGAGGCAGGATAAAGAGGGATAATCCCCATCGATCCCAAATCATTGAGGCCAATTTCTAGCCATGGAATAATGGCGCGGCGGTCTTTTTAAGTTGGCCATGAGTTTGTGGATGCCAGCACATGCAGATGACGCAGTCTGGTTTTTTTTTAATGTTCAAGCTGTACCTGAAATGAAGTTAGGAACAGGTTGAACGAACCTCACCTCAGTGATGTTGATAAATTTGATTTATTGCTGTGTATTTGTGTATTCACGTCAAACAGCAGCATAGAATAATTAAAATAAATTTTAGAAATACTATTACAGAAGTATGGAGTGTGTAGGTTAGTTTTTACAGTTTTTTTATAGAATATTTTTAAAAGTAATTGTTTCGTTATTATAGATTTTCCACTATTGTCAAAATGTGTAAAGCATGATTGCACATTTTTTAAAGATATACCTGCATTTTTATAATTACCCCTTTTTAGGTAGTGAAAATAATACCATGGACAATAAAGTTCTAAGTGCTACAGACGAAAACTGTACCAAAGAAGAAAGTGATACGTTAACAAAACCTTTGGAGTGTAAAAGTCCGATAACTGATTTAAAAGAAGAAACATCTAATTCTAACCTGCCTAATAATTCTCAAGATATCATTGAAGTGAAAGTAATTTACAATAAAAAAAAGTATGACGTTAGTGCTGCATCTAATTTAACTATCTCAGACTTTAAAAAACAATTACAGGGTTTACTAGGTTTGTATTTATTATAATTATTTAGTGATTAAAAAAACCACTGCGCTTTAAATGTCAGCAAAGACCACGAGAATTTTACAACTGCTAGTCTAAAGACTGAAAGTTTCCGTTCATATCTTTTAACTTTCTAGTACCAATACTAAAAGCACGAGTACACATACATAGCAGTCTGCCTCCTGATGACTTGATCAATTCTTGAAATTAAGACCAAATTTTTATAAACGAAGTAAAAATTTTAGAGTTAAGACTAAGATTAAGATGTAGTTACACATACTTTAAGTTCGAAGATGGGAAAGTTGTACGTGCATTTCACATTTTTTAGAAAAGTAGAAATTGTGTATTCCCTATATTGTCTTTTGTTGTTGCTTCTTTTTAACTATACAATATGAACTGTTATAATATAATGGAAACAAAATTTAACAAGATATTGGAAATAATAAATAGAAAAATCTATAAAAAGAAACCGCTTGAAATTTGACAACTGACAGTCATTTTCTGAAAAATACCTTTTCATTTTCATCAGGAGAAACGTACCAATGGCAACTCCTTAAACGTAGTTGGAGTACTTTCTATCTTTTCTCTTCCTAATCTTTGCTAAATTCTGTAACGTGGAGTTACTGACAAAATTTTAACCGTTTTTTAATTTTTAGTGTTCATCGTTTATCTCATTACGTTCGTAATAGTTTAATAGAATGATTTTTGTAGTAAAGGGGTAAATATATTAACAAAAGCGAATTCCCAAAGCTGTAACATAGTAAATTAAAAATATCTAACATAATTACTTACCGATTTTGAGGTTAAATCAATAGGTGGTTGGACGAGGGAAATAAAAAAATTTTAGTCCTTTTCGGAACAAGATGAGGAATACCTTGTGGGATTATTTATTCTTGTCAAAGGACAAATCAGTAAATTCTCCCAGAGACAACTCATATTTGTATACTTGTTTTTTTTGTTATTTTATATAAAATGTGAATATTCTTCTCGTTGTTTGTTAGTGACACACATGTATACTTTACATCTAGGATTCGTACCGATTTTTTACCTATATTTCATCTAGCTCCTATATCAAATTTGTAGTAGGTACAATTGAATTATAATCACATTCCATTAACTATATAGTTTAAATAAAAAATTATATAATGTGAAATTGTGAATTTAAAAGAAAGGTAAATGACTGTCTCCCTGAAATAAATGTCAAAACATTTAAATGTGTTGAAATTTATCAGAAGCAACAACTTTTATTTAATAATTTTTTTTCATTATCTCTGTTATTCCACGAGATACACAATTACATCAACAAATAGCGACCTGTAATATCGCAGCTTCTATGAGAGCACGATCTATCACTAGGCAAACTCAAATTTTTTTAACTGATGCTATTGCAGGGAACAATTACTCTGCTAGCTATTATACTTGAGATTTCTAGATAAACAGCTATGAAGCCATAGACATAGTAACCATTGATAGACATAGCACTCTTCTATGTCTCGTTTATATGTTCTCCCTGTCTTGAGTTACAATATTGAAAACAGCCGGATCATGTGTCTGTTTTCTTACCTGTGGCATACAAACGAGGACCAACAAGTCAGAAACAGGTTTGTATCTGGTGGTTCGACTGACAAACGACCCCAGATGTTTACCTATATATTGCAAGAACAATTCAATGCTGACCGGGGCAAACAATCTGCCAACTAATTGTTTCCTGCGATACTATGTTTTTAAAAAATTTAATTTCTCCTAGTTGGTGATAGGTCGTGCTTCCATGGTACCAGCGATGTTACAGGTCCCTCTTTGCCAGCATAAGGTGTATGAAGCCATAGTTACTAAGTAGCAGTAATATCAATAGTTACTAAGTAGCAGTAACTATTGATATATGTAGTAGTCTGCTGTGTTTCGTAGTTTTCACTAATGTAATAGTAATTTTAAAGTGGACAGACAGTTGAAATTTTATAATTTTAGGAGTACCAGATTCAATGCAAAAACTAATGTATAAAGGACTGCTCCAGGATAATCAAACTATTGCTAGTTCAGGTATTACAAAAGGTTCTAAAATAATGTTAGTAGGATCAACATTAAATGATGTTTTAGCTGTTTCTTCTGTTAGTAAAGAGGTAAGGGTTAATATTAGTAGCAGTAAAATTAACTAGAACTGTTAAATTTATTCTTATTGGGATTTATTATTAAACTTATTTGTTACTCTATCTTAGAAATAGAAACCATGGGATTTCAAAAAATATAGCTCGTATTTGTAGCAAATATATTTTTTAATAAATACAATTAAGTGTTGTATTTTTTCAAAATTTTCATTTTAAAGTTTCAACATTATTATTGTGCAAACATTTTGATCATGTATGTGTTGATTGGAGCTATTGCGTAACAGTTTGAGTAAATTCGAGCTTGTTTGAAATGATTTTTGCAACGCGTGACTCAAACAGGTTTGAACGTGTATGTGGATATTTGAAGGTGTTGTACAACGTAACAAACAAATAGTGTCATGTCATACAACTAGAGTTGTTTGAGCGGTTTTAAAAAATAAATAAAATGGCTTTATCTACGGTTGAAAATAAAGAATTTTGGCAAGAATGTATACATATGTATAGCGATTTACCTGAACTATGGAAAGTAAAAAGTGAACTTTATAAAAATCGAAATCTAAAATATTAGCAACCTTTTTTTGAAATTATATATTTTGCAAATTTTGTTCAAAATTTTTGCTTTGGTCACAACATGCTTCTTTATAAAAATATGACTGCTTCAATTTGTATCAGCCAAGGCTTAGGTATATGGCGTTATGGTAGAAGTTATTGATTTCAAATGCCAAAGCTAAGCAGAATAAGTAATCATCATACTTTACGATATTTATTTTCTCATTTGAATATCGCTAAGTACTGTTATAATTTACTCTCAATAGTCTTAATGAAATTCTGTTTCCTTGCATGTTGTCTTAATGATGTTTCAAATGTAGGATGTCGTTGAAATGGAAAAAGCAGCCTCTACCAAGGAGCCTTTATGTAAACAAAAAATTCATAGGAAAGTTTTAGACAAGGGTATACCTGAGGATGTTATGCCAGGAATAAAAAATCTGAAGGTTTGTTGTCGACCGATTTCAGATATTCATTTCATATTTATGAACTTTTTCTGTTGTCTTATATTCCCTGTATTGAGAACGTACCATATTTGAGCTACAGAAACGCTAAGTTAATTTTTGCAAGTTCTGTTGAAATATGAAATATTTTCGTTTCTCTTGAAATATCAGAATTGGATGTCAAATTTTGACATCTCTGCTACCAGGTAGTACAAATGAAGTCGATATTTCACCATTTTTGTTCATACAACAGTCCCTTAAACAAGTGAATATTTTGTTATAAAAAAATACATTTCTTAAAAGTTTGTATCTGTTTACACGAATGTCCTCCCAAACTGTCAAAATCTAATTATTTGATTTAAGAATCACGTATTTAATTTGTCCCTGTCATTTTTCTCAAAAGAACAAACGTTTGAGGGTTTAGTGGTCATCTATATAATCGGTATAACCAGTAGAGACATAAACATGTTATGAATATTTGAGATCTGTGTAAATATTAAATATGTGTGCATGTAAGTATCTAAACGTTGAAAATTTTAGGAGGGGTTACCACCTGTGCCATTATCTGGCATGTTGAATAAACATGGTGGAAAAGTGAGACTGACTTTTAAATTAGAAAGCGATCAGTTATGGTTGAGTACTAAAGAACGCACCGAAAAATTGCCTATGGGTTCCATAAAAAGTGTTGTATCGGAACCCATCGAAAATCATGAAGAGTATCATGTAATGGTAAGTAATTTACGCGAGTTGAATATTTTTGCTTGTGAAGATGAAGTTAACTAAAATTATGTGTCATTTTATAAATTACAAATTATTTTTCGACCTATTTGTTGCATTTATTTTAGGGTCTCCAATTAGGTCCTACTGAAGCTTCACGCTATTGGATATACTGGGTTCCCGCCCAGTATGTAGACGCAATTAAAGATGCCGTGTTGGGGAAATGGCAGTATTTTTGATTTCTACCGAAATACTTTGGGACTGCAAATGCCATTAAAACAAATCAGTTCAAAAACTATTGCATGTTTAAAGGTATTCATGCATATTACTTGAAGGAATGACACTGTTTTCCTTTTCAATAAAAATTTAGTAGTTTTATAATTTTATACATTTATAGGTTTTGCTTTTGTGATAATGAATCTTCAAAGTGAATTATAATTTGAATTAAGTTGTGATTATTTATAATTGTGTGTTGTAAGATATTAAAAATTCTTAAATGGCCTTTTACTTCTAATTCAATTACTCACGGACCCATTTCAAATGGAAACATACTTGAAAAAAAATTATTTATTGTCCACTTTAATTTAGACAGAATAAGAGTACTGATACTCTGTGGTTTTTGTTTCCGACAAATTGGGCAACACTGCATTCAAGGCCAAGGTGTTGGGAGCAGAACGCACGCTCATTTGTCTCAGTCAGTTGAGAACTGTTGTTGTAGTGTCGTGTTAAAATAACTACCACTATTTCGAATCCTGCCAGCTGTGAGGTGAGGAGCGCAATCCGGTTCCTTGCAAAGGTAAGGGCACCGTTCCAGATTTTTCACAAAGTAAAAAATTCTATTTTTGGCAAAAAATTCGAGAAAAAGCCTTTAAAGTTTTGATTTGGTTTGAAAATGCTTCTAACTGAACAGAAACTGTTCAACATCTATTAGTCTTATTAGATAAGTTAAAAATCAAAAGGTAAGTCTTTATTCTGTAACCATTCAGTAGGTATCTACAGTGTGTCCCACTTAAGCATTAGCCACCCATATAAAATTGTATTTATTGACTGATTTGTTTCAATTTTTTTTGTTTGATAGATCTCAGAAAAAGGAGTAGAATGTATAATTTCCGTATTTTCATGGTCTAAATCATGGCCAACCGGGACAACTTTTATAGGAAGAAAATACGAGAAGTAATAGCGATTTTTTAGCAAACCCTGCATCAGATTCTTATTCAGGACTATATAAACCCTACTATACCAATTTTTGTTGTGATAGCATACAGGGTGTTGCAGAAAATTAAACTTTAATTTTTTAAACCAACTGAAGATTTATTTACGAAGCACATGCATTATTTGAATATTGTGTATTAGTATTATTCAAATTAGTAATAAAGGAAACTTATTATTACGCTTTAATAATTAATAATTTATTACAAAGAGAAAAATGAAACAATCTTATGGCACTTTTCAATACGTTGACGACTATTAATTGTTACTTTTCGTAATGTTGCCTAGTTATGTTACGGCATGCGTCTAATACGTCCACAAACTTCTTCTCGCATTTAGGGCTTCGTAAGATAAACTTTATTTTTAACAGTTCCCCACAAAAAAAAATCGAGAGGTGTGAGGTCTGGAGACTGTGGTGGCCAAAGAATTAAAATTACGTCCAATCCATTGATTGCGAGAATGTTAATTGAGCCAGTTTCTCACCATGGTCTAATTATGGATAGGTGCTCCATCTAGCTGTACATGTAAATTTAGGCGATCATTGGCAAGTCATCGATTTCATCCATAAATTCATTTTGTAGGAATCTCCAAAAATCATCCGCATTTAAATTTCTTTCAAAATAGTAAACCCAATGATTTTTATATTTAAAATGTCACACCATACATTTACCTTAGCGGAATACTGCCTTTTGCATTGTATAATCCAATGCGGATTTTCTTCACACCACATTCTAATATTTTGCGAAGAAACAATACCATTTGTAGTGAAAAAAACTTGTATTTTTGTCGAAAAAAAATCGTTAATATTACTTCTCGTTTTTTCTTTCTATAAAACGTGTCTCAGTTGGCCATGACTTAGACCACGAAAATAAGGATATACATTCTACTCCTTTTTCTGAGATCTATCAAACAAAAAAAGTTGAAACAAATCGGTCAATAAATAACAATTTTACATGGGTGGCTAATGCTTAAGTGGGACACACTGTATTTGCCACTTTGTCATTTCAGAGCAGTTCGACGCGCTTGAGAAGGAGCTCCCAATTTTCTCGAAATTCTTTATATTTATAGTTCTCTGCTATTATTTTTGTTTACATTTTTTGTTAGAATATAAATAAAATTGTTAAGATAAAATTTATTCACCAATAACTATAAATAATTAGCAATAGGCTTACAAAGTATTAATATATATATTTCTTCCAACACATAAATTTTTTTTAATTACAATTTACAATAAATATTCAATTTCCTTATTTATTACATCATTTGTCCAATCTAAACTAACATTATCTAAATGGTTGTCAAAATCTACTAGTTTCTTAAAAGCTGCATTTTCTACTAAACTTATACATGCGTTGATAGTATCACTAGTACCAAAAGAAATATTAGGGTTTTCGCAAGGCTTATAATTCCCATCTACAAGTTGCGCTATTTTAAGTGCAACATTTCCTTTGTGTATGGTGGTGTTTGTACTGTTAACCTGAAATAAATTTACACAATGTTGAAAAATTCATTATGGCTTCACCGTTACCGGGTTGGAACCTCGAGTAAAACTTAAATAAAAATTAATGCACAAATAATATGCAATGTAGTTTCAGGTCCTTAAATGGGAAAAAATGGAAGAACTAATACATGAAGATTTCTATTCTTGTTCTATTCTCAATAATGTTACAAAAACTCGATATTAAATTTAAACGCTCTGTATATTTAATTAAAATGTTATTTTATTTTGAAGGTTCCAAACCCCTCGCTTAATTTTACTATATTTTACCAATTTCCAGTAATATACAGGCATATGTAGAATATTTGACGATAGTAGCATCCAAATTAAATACTTACAATAACTAGGTAGGATTTATTACAGTTGGAAGCAATTTTTTCAGCTATTCGATGGTAAGATTTTTCAAATACATTATCTCTTGAAATATTATCTGGGACAATATAATATCCTGCTATTGTTAAACCTTTCTTTGACGCAAGTTCATCAATCTAAAACAAAATTACCATATATTCCCTTGTTGAAATGAAATGTGCATGACAATTAGGTCACTGCCTTTTAATGATGTCTAACTGTGCAAAAAATGTGCCAAATGAAAATCTATTGAAAACTTGTATTTATTTTTGTTAAGGAAACAAAAATTGCAAATACCTGACAGACGGTCAATTTTACAGAGTAAGCAAAAAAATAGTGAAGATATACATGGGTATATACCTGCATTAAGGCAATTTCTGCCATAGGAGTAAGATTAACACATATGTGAAATAATGGCATACTGTCGACAAACTCCACTTCTTTCTCACCCAAGGACGATGTTTTGGCTAAAAGTACTCCATTTACTGTACAATGTGGATACTTCATAGCATGAAGAATCATTTTACAATAAGCTTTTCCACTGAATTTTATATTAGTCATTTTTTAAAGACCAAGTTAAATAAAAATGAGACGCCAAATATCTATAAAATAGTTGAAAATATGGATGTTGAAATTCCCACTTAATTTCAGCTATATATTTTCTTCACAGATTCCGGTCACTTTGCGGTATAATTTAAAGTCACTTATAAAACCGTCGATGTTTTACTAATTAATTCTATTTGGAAATCTTAAAATCCAAAATTGACAAGAAGTAAATAATCAAAATCATATACCATGGAGTATAAAATCGGAAATTTGGGAATTGGGAATAATCAAGTAAACGGCAAGTGCTTTCGTTTTGGTAGGAACAGTGTTTATAAGTGTCATTCCAGTGAAATTTGAGCGAATACGCCTATCTATATTCCTTTATTCAGTGGATTTCCATAAACGTTCAAGGTGACTAGAATCCTTGATAAACGTTAAACTACCAACACCAAACCAACCAAATCACAAGGACCAAAACCCAAAACTAGCGCCTATGCATGCATTTTTAGGTATGTACCATGTACTCGTAAGCACGTTGCGCGCCATTATTCTATGGCTAGAAATTGGCCTCAATGATTTGGGATCGAGGGGGATTATCCCTCTTTATCCTGCCTCATCTCGTGTAGGCCTGGACA